CCACTGTCTCTCTTACGGGCTCTTTGGGGTACCGGTTCGTGCTGATTAGAAGCACCAAGACGGGTCATAACACCATTTTCGAAAATTTTCCGAACAAGTTTACTTATTTTCCCAAAGGACGCCTTTTCTTGAAAAGTTACTAGTAACCCCAGGTCGAGTCGTCTATTTGTATTTCTAATACCTGAACAATACATGGTCGCGTACCAGACAGCAAACTGCAAAGAATGGTTTGTGTGATCTGACGACCCCAGAATTCCAGTTGAGCAGTAGCATGCACGGGCCACGAACTGGAGGCAGTTGCAACTTGCTTATGTCATGAGTCAGTGTCGCTCACACATGCAGTTTGTCTGCAAACCGGACCACACCCAATGGCTGCAGACGAAAGACATCAGCACAATAAGGCATTCTACAGCAGTAAAATTTTTAAGGACAGTCAGAGATGAAACCCTCAGGCAGAGGTGTAACTATAAATTTTCGCAGAAAGTAGATGCCAAAGGTCCCCCGTTCACATTTATTTGTATCATCGAAAGTCCAAGTCTTGTTGACACGACGTCAAAATAAGGACACACAAAGAAAACGCGCAAAAAACCAGCGCACAAATAAACCGTCATCTGACTCGACAAGGCTAGGAGGCGAAATAAAGCAACAGATAAAAACACGAGGCGTTAAGTACACAAGCACTTACTTGATGATTAGATAATGAATGCCGATGGTAGAGCCGTGCCACAGAGAGTGAGCATCGAATAGCCAGAGAATGGCCGGGAAGTCAAAAATCTCCAATACCGATGCACAGCCAATTAGAGAAACTGCTAGTTGGATGTATTTTGCGTACTCCTGTTGAACTCTATCAAATGCAAGGCGGGGTAGAAACAGCCATCCAAGTATTGTCAGAGAACCTTGAAAGAAAGTAACAAAGTGATTGTTAGTTTTTTAAATGTTAAATTGGGTCAGCATAGTAAAGAAGTCAACTTTTCTGGTGAAGCAAATTAATGGTAGCTTTAAGGAATAGGGAAATGGCTTCTCACTTCTAAGTAAAAAGCGATCAATAAGCATACGGCACAAGTATTAAAACATTGACCATACTGCAAGAGGTGGCACAGAAAGGGTAACTACTGTCTTTCAAGAAGTAGCTCCTAGACAAACTCTTAAAACACTTGGATTACATGGAATGTGATCAAGTAGAACGCATTGTTTGAGCACTTACTTAAACAGATGGACATATCTCTCAACTAATTCAGTAATTGGCGAATAATGATCAATTTTTTAGAGGCGTATACAGCCAGCGAATATTACTCTAACAATTTCTAAAAATCAGCAAGCAAAAATAGAGCTGTTTTAGGATAAAAGGCAATTTCGCATCTTGTGAACAACTTTGACAAAGATAAGCAAAAAGTAGCAAAACTGTCCGCGATTATTTACCATTCTATCACTTTCTATGGCTATGTGTTTTTAGATACTGTGAATGAAAGCAAGAAGTGAACTCTTCGCTTGCTGAAATGGTGTTTCTGAAAATGCCGCCCTGAAAATGATGTATTGAGATACTATTTGGACATACAATAATTCAGGGCAAAAGATAAGTCTACAAAACTTTACTAGGGATGCAAGAGATCCAGCTTACCGAATAAAACATTCACTTGCATGTTCTGGTCGTAACCAAATCGAGTAAAGAGCAGGCGGTATGCGTGACCAGCAAAACACATGAAAATGAAGCCCCCAGCCACCACTTTTATAAGTGTTGGCTGTCTGTACAATATCCGCATAATAAGTACAGAGAGCAGCGCCAGGACGTAGCCAAACGCTGACAAGTAATCCATTCGCTTCATAAAACAGGTACCGGTTACATACTGAAAAAAAACTTACCTCCGTAAATCTGGTGTCATAAGTGTGGAATACAGTTGACCAGAACCACGCATTTATGCCGACCTATGCGTAACATGGGATTTTAAGGAATTACCAACGAGAAGAAGACCCAAGTAAATGACATTGGTGAGCGCCAGGGAATATTTTCGCAAAACAAATTAAGCGTGTGCCACTGTGCAAATAAATTGAGAAGAGAAAATAAGGCAGACGCGGGCTCTTGAATTCCAAAAATCCTCACTTGAGGCCACTAAGAAAGTTAAGATGCGTTCAGTAAGGAGTTTGTAGGAACCTTTCCATAAAACTGTGGCACTGGTAGGCCATCCTGTTGAAATGCTTCCACTGCCCACCATATGCAGTTGTACTTGCACTCATCCTCACAGTTCCAGACTACAGCACGCTCGTGTAGGGCTAGAACTGGGGGCGTGTATAGACTTGATGTTGAGGCATTAGGAACTGAAACATTGCATTCTGCGCTGACGCAAGCAGAAATGCATTCTTTGTAAACATAGCTTTGGTCACCAATCGATGCGTTGGTCCAGGAGACAAGGTATGCCAACAAGGCTAATAGAGCGAAATAAGCGTTTTCCTACAAAAAAAATTGGAAAGCACGTTTTAAGGTTCTATCAAGTTGCCTCGTCATAAATGTAGACGAATGGGGAGGTACGAACTTAAAACGCAGGTACTGCCTTCGTTCAGTAAATGTAGAACGATGTAAGTAAAAGAGACAACGTTGCAGAGATACGAACCAGTCAAAATGCATACTCTGTGTGGACAGTCGGAAAGCCGGCATAAAACCGATTTCTCAGCTGGTGCAATCGGGACGTGTCATTTTGATGATAAATGATACCACTTTAACCGAATCGTGTCAATTTATTGCTTTAATGCAAAATTTAATAACAGGTTTGAAGCACGAAAAGTTGTGCGAAAAAATGAGGCTACTATAACCTGTAACTGATGGCGATGCTGATGACGGTCCTGATGATAAACAGCAATACTATATTATGACTACAGTAAATGTAATGATGGAAGCAACTCCAGTTGTTTTTCTGTACAAGTCCGCCAAATAACCCTGGATTATTTGAGATTAGTGTGTCCTAGCTGAACGGATGAGCAACCTAAAATATGTAAAATAACGCACCTTTGCGTCTAGCTTGTGATTTTTGTCTAATCCTTTTTGAAGCTTATTAGTGCTTATTTTAAGAAACCACCGTGAAAAAGCTAGACTTTGTCAAAAACTAGTTATTAAACAAACAACCTCGTCTGTTAGTTTGACACTCTGTAACACACGATGGCGGACTGACCGCCTTGGTTTCTACTGTCAATACTGGCTTTATGGAATTCAAATTGGAATAAAATTGATCAAAGTAAACTTATTTACTCTGCTTTCTTACACTGCAGAATCCGCATGCTTGTAGGCATGCTTAAGTAGCATCAAATGGCTGCTCGGACGATCCAAACACGTGGCAATAATCCATTAATCATGTAACACACGCGGGAGTAATCCATATGTGGTTTGAAGTTTTGTTCAAGCTAGAAAACGCAAGGGCCACTGAAGATCAAAATAAGGCGAATTGTTGAACGTTTTGAGCCCGAACATCGACAGCTGCAACAACCGCATTAAATAAAGATCAGCGGAGAGCCACACTTCAGGAAACGGTCGCACTGCGCAGAGATTTGTCGAAGAGGAAGCCCAAAATTCTACTTAGGTATATGGGTCGCAATATTTGTGGTTAGGGATACCCCGCACCATACATCGTGCACATATCTGTGTACCACACTCGGGAAGGCAAATTATCCTTGTCTAGACTACGGCCTCCTATTAGCCACTCAATTTAAATCGCCTATGTAAAGCACGTTGGACCAAGAAATTAAAAAACGGTAGACTTACAACCGCAACTTGAACTCGAGATATAAATGTAAGTCAGTTGTTAAGTCCCCTTTTCGTTGGAGGATGCAGTAATCGTTGCCGAAGGGTTCTATCTGCGCGCCACATTTTTGTTGGCTATATATCTTGCCAACAATGGCACTTGATCTACAGGTGCACCAGGAACAGTCAATTACTGCCTCCCCCAGTTGATCAAAACAACTATACTGGCCAGAAAGCTCGCTGACCTAAAATATCACACCAAACACCTAGCTTAGTCAGCCCGCATAATGTTTGAGCTGTCTATCCTGGCAGCACAGACTGAGACGAACTAATTTTGGCTATTATAGCTGCTATAGCATCCGCTACGCTGTTTTCAGGTAAGAGAACAAACCCGCTCTAATAATTAGGCCATACCAAATCGTTTGCATTTACGGGAAAATGTGCATTTAAACATACGCGGGCGGATGGTTCACTTTCAGGTGCGTTTCTAAAATTCGCAACTTTTAAGTTTAATGTGGACAGCAAAATTATAAGACAGTCTTTTTTCGGAGGCATCCTAACAATTATTGGGTGCGGGTAATAAGCAGCTCACTCGTGTGACTAAATGCAAAATCGATGTGCACCCGTAGGCTTTCCTACACAGAAGAATCCTCACTGATATAATATTATATCAGTGATCACTGATATAATATTATATCAGTGATCACTGATATAATATTATATCAGTGAGGATTCTTCTGTGTAGGAAAGCCTACGGGTGCACATCGATTTTGCATTTATGCAATCATGATTGCATATGCAATCATATATGATAGCATGTTCGGACATATGCAACTAGGTAATGCTAAATATTCAAAATTAATACCAAGCGATTACCTTTCGTGGATGTGACACCAGAATCATGGAAATAAGTGAATTTGGAATAAACCCTACTGCAAACCCCCCATGCAATTGCCAAGGTCAGCAACAGATTTAATTTGTAATTTTGCTTAGAGATCGGTATAGTAAAATCAAAATACGTTTCAATTTATTGTACGGTTTCGGCTGTAGCGGGCCGGGAATGTCGAGGTTGGCACACACTTAAAGGAGTAATTCACGCATATGATTTTCCAGAAGTAACGCCGAACTGGGCTGTGAATCACCACAACATGCAATCGTAGAAAGAGATAGAAGAATAGCGCGATAGTAAGAAATAAGGTCTGTTGATACAAAACGAATGC